TGCCTCGCTGCTAGGACAATCTAGTAAAGCTCCAACCTGTAGCTATTTTCCCTTCCCTCAGCTACAAATTAGACTTTCAAGAATCAAAATGAAGCATTTTAAGAAACTTAGCAAAATATCAAAGAAAACTTTTTATACAAAACAATGCATTGCCTTAAACAGTCATCCAATATAAAGCGAACTGGACGCGTTTAAAAATCGCTGATGAACCAGAAGTGACAAGCTGTATAATGCGCAAAGAATAGGTCAAAAGACGATCTATTCTAAACAAACCTGATAGCATAAAGCCTCGCTTAAAAGTCGTTAAACAATAAAAATAAATTAAAATATTAATTATTAGAATGCAGGAATAGTTGTCGAAACCATTGAACGGTTCGAATGGCAGTTAAAGATCAAATTCCAAAATAAAGTAAGTTCAAAAACAGAATTATTTCAACTGGATTAACGAAAGAAACAACAGCGATAAAAAGAGGTTAAATCCAAAAAACCAAAACATCGCCAAAATGTTGCAGATCAATATCCATTGCCAGTTGGATAATGGTCCTTGAGCTTCAAGCCAACAGAATGTACATGGAAGCCAAAATTTAACAGCTTTTCATGATCGAGTATGATTCTGCCATCAAAAACAAACGCGGGTTTCGCCATCAGCGAATAGATCTTTTCGTAATCGAGTTCCTAAATTGAACGTTTTTAAAAATAAATAGGCAAAATGATGTCTCCAAAAACATTCATGCAGGCACTCGTGAACAGTGCTGGCATCAGGTCAAGTCAAATTTATCGCTTTAGCAGATATTGGGTATCTGCTTCTTAGTAGTTCGCGTACGGAGAGCCAACAATAACACGAATAAGGAGGGAAACAAGAACACGTACCACAAATATAGAGATTAAAAAGAAAAGACCTTGAGGACTGCAAAGTTCAATAATACAAGAAATTCTATATAATCAGATCATCTGGTTCACGGTCTGTCTCTGGGGAGTATTTAGTGTCGCTGCGTTCCATACGTCCACTTTGCAAACTTTTAAGGCATCTAGACCAATTTAATGATAATACGAATGAAATTTCCTTCTTGCACATATACACTGCCATGGAGAAGAAATACGTAGCAGTCATTGTCCCCGTTTTCTAGGGCAAAGCTTCAAATTCCGACACGGCATGAACTCATCCTCCGTTATCAGTTCACACATGCGTATCTGACACATTTGACGCCACGGAACGTACAGATCAGACAAGCCTTGGCCATTTATTCTGCAATCAAGGAAAATGATCTGATTACAGCTGAAACAATGACACTACAGAGCATGATAAACAACATACGTCACATGATGATACCGAACCAGGTCAATCCTACGACGCTTTATGTTTCGGCATTAGAAAACTCAATCTCAAATAAGGAGTTTTCGTCTGTGCTGATTCAGTAATACCCAAGAAAGATTCGAATAACCTACAAGACTCTACAAAGCATATGTCTGTTAAAAACATTCTGCACAGAAAAAAGCCATATTTAAATACGTTAAATATAATGTTTAAAGTCAACAAGATACAATTTACTTTGAATTCGTCCCATTCCGTGAGAACAACTAACGCGTGCGCATTTTTGCAAGCATCATACGGATTGCTGGAGACAGTCACACGAGTTTCTACTAAAAATACAACTTCCTGTAGCAATATTGAGAAAGTCATCAGCAGGCATACCTTCTTTGTGATATTCCATGGTGATATGGTTTTTAAGAGTTCTTAAAAGTTCAAAAAAACAGGATTAAAGTATGGAAGCAAAAACATCGGGGAAGCTTTATCAATGCGCTTGAATAATAAAGCATTAAGAGCAATTTATATATAACAGCCCGCTGGCGTTGAATCTGATTCTTGATTATCTGTCTGGTGCCTCTGCTAAGAGTTCATAGTACAAGTTCCCATTCTGTATGACGACCAAATGTCGAAACCACTGAAGGATTACCTTTAGTCATATGCACAAAGAAGACGTTTTTGGCTTGTGATGTTCACTACACAATGAACATTTCAGCGTTCTTGCTACCAGGCGCCAATTACATCGAACTGCATCGTAGAAAGAATTAACCAGTCATCGGCAAACGCAGGCGAATTGGCGAACAGGCGAACGCACCTTGTTCAATTTTGTTGCACACTGACCTCTTGATTGACGTCTGCAGTGTCGTCGTTCTCCCACAATCTGCTCGTGGGCTAGAGTGAAAGATTTATGCCCAACCAGCTGGCTGACAGAACCGACATTCGTTTCTTAATTTCTGTACTTGCTCGGGACACCTGCACCCAAAAGAGAATTAATCATTCGTTACGTGGTCCTGTCTTTTCGACCTTATTGCAAGTCAA